AGGCCTGTGATGTTGATATAAAAAAGATAATTAAGTTAAAAGAATGTTGAAGTGAGTCTCCTAATTAATCAAGGAGATTTATGAAGGAAGTTGAGGTTTCACCCCAAAACCAATTGGCAATGAGGGGAGTAGCCCAACTCCTTATAAGCCCTTGCTAGGTTTCTCAACTCTCCAATGTGGGACTCTTTTACCTTTACATTCTCACACGCCCCCGCACGTGTGGCGAATTTTCAAGCCTAACACGTGAACAATGTCAAATTTTCCAGGTTAACGGGCCGAGGGCCCACTCCAACAACACCGATACTGTCCCCACTTTACCACCTGCACAATCCTCAGGTGTGGGGTTTTATCACAAAAGGTCTCGGTGTTAGTTAGAGTGGGGTAATTCTATTAAAGTACTATTTCTCCTTCCCTCTCTCCGATGTGGGACACAATTGGTTTCAACACATTGGATCTAGTTCTCAACGAAGGCCACCGATTCTCAACGAAATTGGAACCACATAACTAATTTCTCAATGAACCGATCATAGTCAGTGAAGTAATCGTCGATAACGTTTGTTCAGTGGTAGAAATCTCTCTTCCGCTACATCTTGGTTTGGTTGCCCAACCCTAGTAATTAAGATGTCTATTTACTATTTATCTCGATCTCTTAAAACAAATTACTCTTCATTTCCAAGTGAACTAAATGTAGATGAACTTGATTAGTAATCATGCATAGTACGGGAAGGAAAGTATCTACGTCTAGTATATTTGGGGAATTGGTTCTAAAGGAGAGGGTGAAATTGATTGAAATCCATCGTAAGTGAGATAGCTCCTCAAATCTCTATTTTATACTATTCTTCTATTTGCTCCTTCTCTCTCTTACATTACATTTCTAGGAGAAGGCAGCTCGCGAGTTAACATGAATATGGTTCCAAATAAATTCACAATATAATAGCCAAATCAAACAAAAACACTGCAGTCACAGTCAGATTCAGTGAAAATAATAATAATTAAGCTCAAGACAACAAAACACGAAGCTGCACACTGAAATCCACACATGCAAAACAAAAACAAAAAAATCCACATAATAATCAAACCCATTGATACAAATTAAAGGGTGGAGAAAGCTTAACCAGCAGAACATAACCCTAGAAACAGATTCTTGCCCAAATAAACCCTAGAAAAGAGGAAGAGGATGAAATTTGTGTTTTGTTTTGGGAATCAAAGAAAATGAGAGAAAGAGAGGGACAAGGTGAGGAGGCAAACCTTGAAGATGTTGACCTCCTATGGCGGCGAGCTCGGTGACGACGACAGCAAACAGTTACAGATTTGTCTAAGAGACTGAGAAGATGCGATGAGAGGGAAGAGTTGAGGGAGATTCAGAGAGTTGAGGAGGGTTTCAAAAGGAGGGAGAGAGAGATGTTTTCAAGTCGTGGGGAAATCTGAATTTTTTAAGTCGAGGGCGAGAAAACTTAAGTGCTCCTTTTGTTTAGCGCGTTTTCAAAAGACGACGCTCATTAATTGTGAACGTCGTGTTTTTAAAATCAACTCGCTTTTAGTGGTGTATTAGATCATATACCACGACGGTTTTGCAAAAATGTCGTCTTTTAAAATAAAACGACGGTTTTAAGGTGCACCGTCGTCTATTTTATGTCGTGGTTTAAGGATATTGTAGTAGTGTGAGACATAAAATAAGTCTTCATCTTGATTCTCCAGAAATCATAATTTTCTCCAACGAAGATTGGAAATGGGATAGAAGTTTGGCTAGCGGTAGACATGATGGAGGACTATATCAAACCCTTACGCCCAAGGTGATCGAACTTTGCTCTGATACCACTTGTTGGTTTTATAGGGTGAAGAGGTGAACAACAAAGTGATTTTATTTATTCTACAATAGATGGGTACAAGGCTTTATACAACACTAGGCTTATTGGCCTTCAACAACTAGAAATTCAACTCCCAATCTATGAGGAGTGAACCAATCAACTCCCAATCTATGTGGGAGTGTAACAAGAGAACTCCCAAACCATTAGGGAGCCAAGAGCTACCCAAAGGAAGCTATGTTGAGAGCCAATAAGCTCATCAATCTAAGTGAAGGGCCAAATAGCCCAAAACTAATCTAGATCAAGTGTGGTGGCCAATAAGCCAATATGCTAAGGAGGCCAAATAGCCTACACCTAGTCATGTACTATTCTCCTCCAATCTAATAAAATCACTTTGTTTCCCCTACAATTCCAACAGTGGTATCAGAGCAACACATCACACACCTACTAAAATCCAACACAATACAAGTAAGATTTCCATTTTAGTAGTGATGGAGGGGATTCGCTCTGTGAAAAAGTGGTCTTTTGGACCATATACTACTGTTGCAGCAATGAAACTCAGCCTTAGAATAGAAATGCTGGTCATTATGGTGGAATTAGCATTTTTGGTACGGAAGCAGTGCAAGCCAAATCAAAATGTACCCTTAATTCGCTAAATCATTAACAATCCCGACCTCGAGATTTCAATATGACAGTGAATGCACAAAAGGAATTAGAAAATGGACGATTCGACTCATGAACTACTTGGGCGGTTGACCCAAAAAGGGTTGCCAAATAAAATTACATAGGAAATTAAACTTGCAAGCGATGGTTTTTGGAACCTGAGCATGTGTGCATATATAGATTGAAGGAAATGCAGAAAACTCATAAAAATTATGACCAAAGCTGTGAACTTACTAGGTAGCTCATGTAAGTCATCCCTGGAGCTCTTCCACATGAAATTGATGATCAACCTGTGGACAGATAATTTATTCCCTACCTCCTTGATAGACGTACACGTGCGAAATTATCTTTCCACAGGTTGATCATCAATTTCATGTACACGTGCAAAATTGTGCGAAATTTATTCCTTGATGATCAACTCTAGTTTTTTTCTTTCTATTTTCGAACTCTTGAACTCTCCTCTCTTGATCTCCACCCTCCCTTACCCACTTAGGTTAACCCCGTGTTACGGTAAAGAAATTAATGGGAGGTGTGGTTAATTTCTAACTTCTGCATACAGCGTGGGGAGCCTAGGTGAAAATGGAATTTATGCCACAGTTGAAGACGTACACGTGCGAAATTGTAGTTTCAATGGTACCAAAAATGGGTGCTAGAATTAAGACATAGGAGGTAACAACTAGATACGTTAAAACTTTTTGTTGTTGTTTTTCTTTTAATTTTATTTGGTGAAATAGTAACATTGATGTTGACACTAGCTATCTTAACCAAAATAGAGTTACCTCTCATGAATCTTGAATCTTGAGTCCAAAATTTATGTGTTCCAATAGCCATCACTACAAGAAAAACAGGTATTAGTGGCCACCCACTTGGTCACAGAAACTACCCTTTTTGGTCACTGAATGCAATCAGTGTCCAAATATTGGTGGTCACTAGGTGGTCACTAGAAGCTCGTCACAAATTCTACTTAGTGGCCAATATCAACTATTGGTCACTACAACACAAAGAATTAGTGACTATCCCTATCAGGTCACTAATAAAAACACTATTAGGGACCACAAATTTGGTCACTAAAGGGCTTACAATTTGGTCACCAAAACATGCAATTTGGTCACTGAAATTGAGTCACGTGCCCACATTAGTGACCTGCTTGCTTGGTCACTAATGTATTTCAAAAAATTGGTAACTAATTAGGTTTACCTCTCCATGTTCTTTATTTAGTGTATTACAATATGAAATCACAATTAATTTCTTTTAAACAGTGCTGTAGATAAAATTTATAGCATCAAATAATTCATTGCATTCAAACGCAATCCATATATATAACATTCTTCCAACAAATTCACAAGATGTCTCAAAAACAAAATGCTACATATTTAAGTTCAACCTAAATGTTGAGTGATTCCCAAAAACAAATAACATAAGATTCATCACTAGTAGATTGTCTTCTGTCCTTTCTCATCTGATATACTAGAAATTTAACCATCAGAACTGCATCAAACAAAGAATAATTATTTACAAAAAGATATTTCAAATGAAAAACAAGATTTTTAGACTATCAACAAAGAAAACAAAAAAAATAAAGGAAAAAACAAAACAGCAAAGTGAAAGACAAACTAATAATAATGGATCATCATCTTAACAAATAGAAAGAGAGGACTATTAAACAAAAAGAAAAATTCATGGTGAGACACAGAGAGAGTGATAGAACAGCTGAAAGTTAATATTGAAGATAAAGTCAAGAAAAAAAAAACCTGGAAACTTCAACCATGCTGATATACTAGAAGAAACCTATCCACCAGACCTGCACCAAACAAAGAATAATTATTTACAACAATATTTACACTAAACTCTTCTCTATTGTCTACCA